GTGGGGGGCGAACGCAGTAACCACTCCGCCAACGCCACAGTCACCCCCGTCGTGCGGGCCGGATGAGAATGTCTGGCGGGATGGATGTGGCCCGCGGGCCGCCAGTTGGTGGTCACTGCCCTAGAATGTTTCATTGATACGAGTAATGTATTGTCGGTGGCCCAATGCGTGCCCGTGTACATAGTTGTAGAAAGGGCTTGAGTTATATTTAGCTCTTGCGGTGGTGACCGGTTGGGGTCACAGGGGCTGAGGTTGTCTGGAGTTTGAGATGGAGAATTACAAACCAATGTAAGGTAGACTGAGGAAAGGAAGTTGATTGTCCTTGCAAGAACATTGGTCTAATGTTGAACAATCTCACAACAAGTCTGTAGACAAATCTCCACAAATCCCTGTTTTATTATGAATGTTTCAGGTTTCCAAGACAGCTGCTGTAGCGTGAATCACAGGTCGTCATTGGTTCATTGGTTGTAGTCAGGATCTGGATCGCTCATCCCTCTTTACAAATCTGTGTGACGTATCATAAGGAAGATGTATTTTATACTCCTGCACTATGTGAGCAGGGCGTGTGTCTTATCCCCCTGATACACACAGGGTAGATTAGAGGATTAGCATCCACAGGGCTAATGCTAACACAGCTACCGCAGCTACAGATGGCATTGTAACACACACACATTTACACACACAAACACACACTTACACGCTTACGAATGCTGGCTCGCAGACTGCACGAACGTACTGAAAGTGGGTCATAGTCTGGGTATTTATCTGTTTGCTTTAATTACTCACTGGTTAAAAACATGTTGTTAATCAGGGAGATAATGCCTTAAATTGAATTAACAACAAAATAAAAAACTTGATTAGTTTCCTGATAAGGATATCTGCAAAACAAGGGAGGAAGGAAAGAATAGACACCGGGATTAATTGATTTCTGTAAAGCAACACTTTTGCAGATCAATTAATTCTTTAACTACATAATACAATTGCAACCTTTCCTGCGTCTAAAGTAGATGCTAATGTCTTGTAATTATAAAATCTTAAATACCTAAATCTAAAAATATCTATTCTCTTATATTCCATAGATCAGAAAAGTCACTCAATTGATCAAAACAACATTGACTCAGTCTGTTATCTCTCTTTACCTAATCCATATTATAACATCTTGTGGGCAGTGTCTAATAAAGTGTCTAGTGCAAACAGGAGAAAATACCGTATAATCCTCTTAGTTACTTTGGCCAGCTCACAGCGGGCTGTGTAACTTTCTTTAGCTCCTGGTGCCTTCAGAATACATACGGTGCTTATAGCATTGTGTAATTCTGTATACCAAACAGTTAGTAGTATTTAAAGCAACAACCAGGAAGTACTTCATAACCTGACCTGACTATTGCGTAACACCTTTTGAATTGCATCCCACAGAATCACTTTAGGTTCCCATTGTGGTTTTATAATATACATTTATGAAAGTGAGAGCTGCAATCTCACTTTGTCCTACCAATTCAACTTATTTCAAAACTATTTAAATCTAGTCTTGGGAAAACTGTTAGTGTCAGTGGTTCCAATGATGGGGGATCAGAAGCCCCTTCTTAGGGTTAACCTGATGAACTCGCTGTGTAACATAGTGTTTAACTGCATAGAAAATATGTTGAAGAAGTTTCAGGTCTTTTGGACATATGCATTTATTTTACAAATAACATTTGTTTTTTTCTTGTTGTGACATAATGGATAGTATTACTTTTGTTTGATTTGCACCTGGCATTTGTGATTTCTTGTATAAACAATCCCAGATTTGAATATCACTCGTCATGTGGAACCTGTTATGAGTGGTCGCACATAGACATCGCTGCATTATAAGGGGTGACAAGCCAAAGAGCACAACTGAAACTTTACTGCTGGGAAATATAGCCAATAATGTAGCCAATCATTTATTTTCCTGCACTTTTCTCTACCAGTAACTCCACCATGGCCCCATTATTCCCCTAACCGTCTTCCATTTTTGTAATGATTGAATATATTCAGAAACGTACATTTCTCCACTGGGTTTAACTTGCTTTTCAAAGCAATCTAACATGTTCAAATCCACTGTCCGGAGAGCAGAGACTGACCAACATGTATGGATGTATTTCTTCATCATCTCTCCCACTGAATGCTTCAAGTTATAGATGTAGGTTTTTAAGTGTGGCTAATATACTTCACAGTTAACAGGGTTTAGGTGAATGCAGGATAAAAAATGCCCTTTGTGTTTCTGTGTGTGGGGCTGACTTTTACTTTAAATAATAGTTGTTGGGTTGCATAAGGCTTTGCCGCCACCTTCCAATAATCTTCCAGAGCAGGTCAGTCAGCATAGAGGATTGTGCGCGTCTATATTTACACATGGCAGTAAGAGGGTTGTAGGTGCGGCCTTCAACAGCGCTAACTCGCTGCGGTGTTCGGTGGTTTGCTCTTTAGCTTCAAAGTGTTTTCTATGTGTGTGTTTGTTCTGCTTGTAGTCAATATAAACCTTTGAATGTCTCTTGGCATCACCTTAAAAGAAAAGCCTACATTTTGCTAAAATTATTAATTGAATTAAATCTGTTGTTTTTTGTATTTAATGAAAAAACAAATCAGTACTAGCTCCCTTTGTGTGCGGCATGACACCGTTTTTTGACCACAGTGAAAATCATTGTGAAAGCTAAGAAATCTAGATTAAAGGAGATTATTCTGTTAGATAAAAACACGTTGACAATTGAACAATCATACACAGCCACAGCCAGAATCTATTCGTTCTAATACTTCAAATAGTACACATATTTATTTATCTAATCTTAGTCTGCAACTCTGCAGAAATACAGCTTTTTTAACTGAATAATAGAAATGTAAGAAAGAAAAATAAATAATTCTTATTGTAAAAAACGATATGAAAACTTTCAAATGATTTTGTACGGCTCTGGAAAGAAATGAGTTCCTCACTTCCTTACTTTTGTCTACAGTATATTCAGGATGAGGAAGGGATTTCTTTTGAGTTAGACGGTGGTCTTTCCATTTGCTTTAGGTCTAACTCAGGTTCACCCCCCCTCTTCCTTTCATTTGCATTAGCTTACTCTTATGTTGGCTCACTGAACTAAGCTGTCTAAGCTTAACTGCCCTCAGCAGCTAATGCTAACTAAGTAGCTGAGCAACAACAGGTGGCATGGATATGACTCAGATGTGTTCATATGCTGCAGCTGCAGAGTTCAACCAGGTAAATGTCTTCACCCGACATGACAGTCTGACGGCTCCTGCAGGTTTATAAACAGGTCTGGGAAAAGAGAGACACCTCCCTGACGGAGAGGAGGACGGTGCTGCTGTTCAGAGGATCATCCATGTGGTCACAAAAGATATCCAAAATCTCAACTTCTTTGACTTGAGGCTTATTCAGAGACATTTTACTTTTAAAGCACACACTTGAAACAGAGGCAGTTGCTTTGCAGCCAATTATTCAACTTAAGGAATAGCAAAACATCTAATTAAACACTCAATAGATATTATTTGATTAACTGTGTAGACTAAACAGTGTTCAAATATGAGTCAATGAAACTTCTTCTCTCTCTCATTTACCATGTGTAGTGTGTTCAAAGATACCACCATGGGGGCTTTGTTGATTACATGATATCATCAGGACATTTGAATTTGAATTGATAGTGACAATAAAGTGTGTGTGTGTGTGTGTGTGTGTGTGTGTGTGTGTGTGTGTGTGTGTGTCAGCTTTAAATGATAAACTGGCCTCCATCTGTTTACATTGCAAACAGCAGAGCAGAGTCACCTACTGTTCCGAGGCATGTTACTGTTTATGACGATATTACATTTCTAAAAGAATAGATAAGAGCAGACATTTGTATATCGTGTCATTTGCCGATATCATGGGAGAAATCTCACTGAATGATAGCAAGCACTGGAATACAGTATATTGCTTTGACTCGGGATGCAGCTTCAAACAGGTAGTCTTCAATGTTAATATGTTGAATTCAACATGTACTGTATGTCGATATAAATATGTCTGTATCTCTGGTGAAATAAGTATTCAGATATTTTATTTATGGACTTTTAGTAAAACCCCTAAATAAAACATTGTACATAGGTAAAAGTACAAAGCATCAAAATAAATCTAGAGAACCAAAAATGCAATTTCAGAAAAATAAAAACAGTTTCATTTGATAGGTTTCTAAATATTTACGCATTCATGTGTAAGCAGGTCATGTTGGGGCCAACGGTAGCCATTTTGTGTGCTGCCTAGCTTTCTATAATAGTGCATAATAATATATAAGTTGTCTATTATTAGTATTTGAGAAAATTATAATACAGAAAAAAAAGCTCAATATTATCCCTCAATTGTAGTTTAGTAGAAGTATAACGTTTTAGAAAATAAAAAGTATAATCATCGAAAGAATACTCCACTGGTTTGTGTACACATTGTATGCTTGATCTGTAGATGAACACACATCCACTTATAATGTTTTAACTGTACATGTTGTAAAATATATAATGTGAATGAGTCCGTGTGCATACAAGTGTTATTGCCAGTACGTGTGCACAGAAATCTGTGTGTCCCCGATTCACATTTAGGGTGAGTCACCATCCAGGTGAGCTTAGTGATGGCTGACCTATAAAAACACACAGACAGATGGACTGAAGTGCATGTCTCATCGGCAAACTACACAGTAATAACAGCCTCCGTAAAAACACACATCTGTCAGATATAAGAGTAGATAAATCCTTCCGCAATACTGTCCTCTGGAAATTAAAATATGAATCCACGTAAGCTGTGTTGTCTGCTCATGAACAGATAAATGGATTTCCCCTCCAGCTTAGCTCGTCAAATGTAGTGCAGGGAGTGTGTTTGATTGGTCGTACTGTAAAATTGGCAGATGACTCATACCACGTTCTGTACAATCCGTATACACCCTGGTAAACTCTGCAAGTGATTATAATTACATTCCTGCAGATTGAAAGACTTGTGTGCTTACCTATCTCTTCTATCTTTTTTTCAGATCTGATTATTAAAGTTATTCAACAAAACATGGGAGGAATCAAAATAGAAGAATGGAGAAAGGTATGTTTGGTTTAAAAGATTATTGAGATTACATATTTTAGTCTTGATAATAAGCAGTAATGATACTTAACTGGTTAATACATTTGTTAATTTAACACCTGTAAGAGATTTAGTTTTTTGCATTTATTTGTAATCATTTCAATGGGATTTTAAGGCCTTAGAGTGGCCTTTTTAATAGAACATGAAATAATCTATAAAGTCTCTATAATATTTTAAACACATAACGGTAAGAATCACAAAAGGGTAATATAATAGCCTTGTTACTGCGATTCCAACAAGCTTTTTGGGATTCCCCCACTTTGATTTGACGCTTGTTATTATTAAAAACAGTACTTTACAAAACAAAAAGGCAGTTAAAGGTGGGGTAGGTAAGTTTGAGAAAGCGGCTCGAGATACACTTTTTGTTATATTCCATGGAATGCTCTTAACATCCCGATAGCAATGAATATCTTAAATGCTTTGACAAAAAATCCATAAAGAAATGTCATCAGTGGAAGCCGTGGCGCTGTAAAAAGCACGACCAATCACCGGATGGCGTACCTGCCCGTCAGCCTTCCATCTGTGCACAAACTTATCTCGTGCCCTCATTGGTCATGTGTGCGTTCGTGTGTGTTGGAGGAGGGGCTCTGTAAGGAAGTGGAAGATTTGTTTCCGGCTGTGTATTTTCAAATTCTAGCGCACTCGAGCTGGTTTCAACAAAATGACCTACCCCACCTTTAACCATCATATAATTCACAAAATAAAAAATAATGTGCAAATTGAGAATAAGTAAGTAGACACTGTGGTTAGAAAAAAAGTTAACAATATGAAATAAAAACAATAAGTTATGAAATAAAAGCAAGAGAACATTTTTGTATAGACTAGGTTTTAAGAATGATGTTTCGTCTGCCTCCTAATCTTTTGGCTGACCTTGATTTGTTTGTCTTTCTTACCCTTTTGCCGTGTGTGTGTGTGTGTGTGTGTGTGTGTGTGTGTGTGTGTGTGTGTGTGTGTGTGTGTGTGTGTGTGTGTGTGTGTGTGTGTGTGTGTGTCACAGCCAGACAATGTGGTGCTGTTACTACAGGTAAACTCCTCATAACATTATGTTTTCACATTATACTCCACAATGTCTCAGAAAGGATGTGAGGTGGAATGATGATTGTTTATATCCTCTCCTGCAGACGATCTACTACGAGGCGGGTTTCCTCATATGTGCGACTATCGGCATCCTGTTCGTGGTCCTGGTGCCCATCATCGCCTTGTGTTTCTGTGTGTGTCGCTGCTGTGACAACTGCGGAGGGGAGATGCACCAGAGACAAAGAAAAAACGTTGACTGTCAGAGAGGTTTCTACACCGCCTTGCTCGTCGCCACCTCCATCTTCATGTCGTGAGTCATCTTATTTATCATCATGAGGATTTTTTAAAAGGTATTATTAGGTCTCATGTATGTTCTCACTGTGTGCATCATGGAAGTGTGAGACTATAGAACTCTTCTACAAATGTGTTGGACATACTGTGCTGCATACTGGATATACCATAAGATGTATAGAGAAAGGAATGCATGTAAAACCTAAAGTCGTAGATCCCAAAGCAAAGTCAAACAAAAATCAAGTGTCTTTTTCATTCTCGTGAAACCCTGGAGGCTGACATTACGTTTAATGCACCTTGACTGCTAATAGTCCAAAAGGAGTTTCAGTGATGTTGTGCTAGGGGTGGCTAATGTTGTCTCCAGCTACTAGCTTCAATCAGAGATGAGGAGCAGCTACAGAGGTCTTGAAACCTCACTGCTTTCTAACTCTATATGTTGTGTATATTGTTTTCTCATTAAAAACTTGTCGTCACCTGAAGCCTCTTTTTCAGATTTTGCAGAGCTCCCCCTGAATCCACGATAGGCTTTATAAAACCTTTTGGTAACATATCCTGTCATAATCCACCAGACCTCTAAACAAGCTTAGATGTGTACATCTGTGGAGTTAAAAACATCTGCTCGCATACAGACAGGAGATGACCTGCAGATCACCTGCGGTGTAGGAGACAGGTGCACAGTCGGAGAAATAAGAGCCAAACTGCAGGACAGTTAGGTGTTACTGATATCACCTGGCTGACTGTAAAGGGGCCTCTCTGTCTGAATGAGTGCTTTCACATCACAAACATGCGTGCTAACACACACACACACACACGCATGCGCACACACACACACACACAATGTAAGTACATAAAGTACAATTGGTGATATTCATATATCAGGGTTAATTATTTTATATCTCACACAATCTTTCCTTCTGTTGACACTCAATCAAGTCTTTTCTTCAGGTTCAGCAAAGTGAATAAATCAGTTATATGGCTGTACCATTGAATAACTTGAATATCTTCAAAGTTCAGGAATAGCAATCACAAACGTAATTATTAAAGTTTGCATATCATCAGCTCAACACCTTAATAGACTTCAACATCATCCTTGTTTTCACCAGTGAATTATGAGAGCGTTATCTATCCTGCATTTTTATTTGATTACAGTACGTTTTTTACAGTATTTAACAACATCAAATGTACGTAATTTCTGAGATATAAATGTGAGGTAAAGTTAAAGTCTTTATCCATAATCATTTGTTTTACAAGTTAAATCTCTACCAATCCTCAGGTCAGAGATGGAAAATAGATTCATTTAGAAGGTGAGGTTTCCTAAAGAGACTCATATATTAAAGGGGACCTATCATGCAAAATGCACTTTTGTATGTCTTCTATACATGAATATGTGTCCCCGGTGTGTCAGGGAACTCACCAAGTGTCAGAAAACACAACCCTCTCTCTTTTCCTCCATACCCAAATCTCTAAAAACGGGGCTGCAACAGAGCTGATTATTATTTGAATTTTTCTGACGTCAGAAAAGGGGTGCTCTGCCTATATGGGCAACCTATCAGGGGAATGAGAGACCGCTCGAAAGTGCTGGAGACGCTGTAGTACATATGCCAGGCCTGTAAATTGCGCTGTAGTCGGCCACAAACGCAGAATCAGCCCTTGCAAAAACAGGGCTGGAAAGGAGCAAATAGAGCGAAATGAGGCATGGCTAAAATGCATGATCTGTTTGGTATTTTGAAAAAAAACGTTTTATATAGGTATGGCCCTACAATATATGTTTCAAATATAGCATGATAGGTCCACTTTAAGTACATTTATTGACTGTTCATCATGTGTAGATCTTTGCAAAATCTTTCTCAACTCCACATCAGGAGAAAGTTCTTGCACATCATAAAGTGTATTTGACATGTGACTGTGAAGAGCCCAAAGAGGTATATACAAGAGAGTTATGTAGCTGAGAAATGTGATTTTTCAGACCTGTCACATGTCTCTGTGAACTTTCAGTGAGTCATCAAAAGTACATCTTGATGTAGCCATGCTGCACTCTGCTGGTGAACACTGCTCACTGTCTATACTTTAGTCAAATTGTCCCTACTCTATGTGATCTTATATAAAAAATTGATAAAATAATGTGTGTGTTTTAGTCTGGGAGTGTTCATCGCCTATGCTGCGAACCATAATGTCAGCGCCCAGATTAAGAACACTCGGAGGTTAATCAACACCAACATGAGGGACCTTAAGACATTTGCTAACAACACACCTACGGTATGTCCCCCCCCCCCCCCCCCACACACACACACACACACACACACATACACACACACACATACACTCACACATTTCTCTGTAAAAGCCTATAGAAAATGAAAATGTATGTTTAAATGAGTGATGCCTGTTTTCTGTTGCAGCAAATTGAATACATGACAGCCCAGTACACCACGGCAAAGAACAAAGTCCTGTCAGACCTTGACAGTAAGTTGAACTCAGACTGTTTACTTACATTATTTGTTTAACCTTTGTGCCTCCCTTTAAAGAAGTGTATCTGATGTCCTTAGAGGATACATATACCCTCCTTCACAAAACCTCTAGAAAATAATATATACAATATGTTCCTCTTTCACTGACTGAAATGTTTTAAACTTTTGTCTTGGAGTCTAAGAACTACCAAATATGATACTAATAAAAAACTATATTTTCACACGCTAGCCAATAATTATGCCAAATAGATCATCATCTTTTATTTAAAGAGACTCTTGGTCCATTATTACAAAAACATACAACACTCAAATATAAATTAAAAAAGGCAGTTATACCAATGTTTCCACAGAGGTGACTGGTATCGTACAGCACTGAAACACGGATTTGACAGCAGCATAATGACAGAGTTATAAGAAACATTCAATCGACAGATGAATTTATACATTCGATTTCTCAAAAGAGCATGGAACGTGTTGACTCGTGCGTTACAGAACATTTCACAAAGCCAAAAAACTCCTTAGTGATACAGAGTAATGTATCTCACTTGGTTGTCTGTGGCTCACTGTGTGTACTCATATTTAGCTGTAGTTTTCTCATATAATCTGATCTCTCTGTGTTTCCTGACAGACATTGGACCTTTGCTTGGTGGGAGGATCCACAGTCAGCTGGAGAGAGAGGTGGTGCCCTCACTGGACAATGCGCTGCGGATGGCAGGAGGTAGCACACACTCTGAATGAGCTCCTGTACAGTTTACACAGCTTCATAATGCAGGGTTGATAACACAATATCAGCCCGTTCTGTCACCATATCTGATTGGTGACATTCAATTTGAAATTCAAAGAAAAACCTCTCCTCCCATGAATTATGTTGCTAAAATGTAAATTGCTGCTCATGTTTTGCATAAACTCAGACTTCTAATCATGTCAAGATAAACTGTGTTGTTTAATTAAAATACCCCCAAAAACACGGTATAAACTGAATTTATTTTGGTGAAGTGAAAATGTAATTGTCACACTAATGCAACAATATATTTGTGAATTGTAGCCGCACTTATCATGTCATGCTACATGATACGTTTTTACATGCTCTATTATGGTTTTAATACTGCCGTGGTGTCTTTAAAGGCACATCCTCAACATCGTTTAACCTTCCTTTTTCCTCTCCAATTTCTGCACATTTTTCTTTTATCTAAAGCTAAAGTTGAGAATGCCATCAAAGGTAACCAGAGCTGATCTGAACCCCTGTTGTGTTTTGTATTGTTTCCCTTTGTGGGTTGTTGGTCTGTCGTCAGTGTAATCAGCGTTGTTGTCATCCTGTTTGTAATTCTGTGATAGTTTTGTGAATTGTGAATGTACATTCTATTAATGTAAATCATTTGAAGATCACATGTTGGACAATACAAAACAGCACACTGTTGTGGATTCTTTTAGTAAATGTGTATTTTTTATCAGCCTATTTTAAAAAGTCATCCTCCCTCTCCGTCCTGCAGCCATGCGGGAGACCAAAGAGGCTCTGGAGAACGTCAGCTCCTCTCTGGAGGTTCTCCAGGAGGGGACAGCAAAGCTTCAGGCCAGTCTATCTGGGGAGCGGGCCTCTCTTTCCAACACTTTATCAGACCCTGCCTGCACTAATGGAGCTGTGTCGTCCACCTGTAACACCATCCGATCCACGCTCGCCCAGCTGGGAATCAACTCTGACTACTCTAAGGTACCAGGAACTAAAGATTGTCTCACAATCAACACAACTGAAAATGGAAACAAGCATCTTAAACGGCCATTTTTACTGATCTATATTTGTATCTTTCCCTTCATAAGCTGCCAGATGTTAATCACGCCTTGGTCAATGTCAATACTGTCCTGAGAACAGACCTCAGCAACATTGTACAAAAGGTTAGTCTCTGTCTCCAGCTCACCATCATCATCATCATCATCCTCCTGTTTATGTTGTCACTATCTTTTTCACCTATCGTATTATTAAAGAAGCCTCCCTATTTAAAACAATTATATATTTTCTCTTTTCTCACTCTTCATCTCCAGGGTTACTCATCCTTTAATGATACACCACAACTGGTTAAAGAACAAACTAAAAACATTGTCTCAGGTACTTAACTGTGTGTGTGTGTGTGTGTGTGTGTGTGTGTGTGTGTGTGTGTGTGTGTGTGTGTGTGTGTGTGTGTGTGTGTGTGTGTGTGTGTGTGTGTGTGTGTGTGTGTGTGTGTGTGTGTGTGTGTGTGTGTGTGTGTGTGTGTGTGTGTGGGTGTGTGGGTGTGTATGCGTGTGTATTTAGTTTGCCTAACACATATAGCTGTTTTCCCTTCTTCTTTACAAACGATAAGAGATTAAGTCTAACTGTAGTCTTTCACTTCCATTTTTTCTTCCACCTTCACCTGTGAATGATGAAACCACAGCTCTACCTCGTAAGTCCTTGTTTTTTCTGTTAGACCCCCCCCTTTCCTTAAAGTTTTCACCTCTAATTTGAGTGGCCTTCTGATTGATGTAGAATACAAATCCATCACTCCTTCTGATTACTTGTGGTTTATATTTTCATTTTCATTTGTAGGAGTGAAAGGCATGTTGGATAAGATTGGCATAGAGATCAACGGCTTCTCCAAGATGTTCCCAGTAGAAGCTTCTCTCACCAATTTCACCGTTTTCCTCACCCAAGGACAGAAAAATATTGAGTCCTTTTACCCACAGATTGACCAAATGGACTTTTACAGGTGTGTGTGTTCGTCTGAGTACATGTATTATTACTATAGGTTGTAGGAACAGAAATCTGTCAGATTATGGGGACAAACTTTCCACCTGGAGAACAAGAATATGGCCTCTACAAGGGAATATATTACGTTAAATATTTTATCTTTGGGGTTAGTAAAAGGCTTGAATCAGCTATTTTCCATATTTCTGTAACTTCAAATACAATGTGAAATGCTTGTCATTGTGAACATACCTGAGAATTATCACCAAATGTGCAGCTCTGCTTGTTGGCGCTTTATAGTGAGTTTCAGCTCATTGTTCAGCGGTCTCACCCTCAACGGTACCGTTTCACTCTCATCACCTTCATATCGCCATGTTCTACTATAGCAGGCAACGAAAAAGAGTTAAAAAAATCACTGTACACTACCTGCTTAGCACAAATCGTGAAAGACAGATTAAATTAGAAACAATTTAATGAACAAAGAGGAGTATTTAGCAGCTGAAGGGACAGATATTTCCCTCAAAACTAGATCAGAGCTGACAGACAGTGAATATTGGACTTAACATTCACCAGGTTCTCTGTGTTTCTGCGATTACTCAGTTGGCTGCTGAAAAGTTATTTATATCAACCTAAAAGGGGATATTATGTCAAGGTAGTGTTCACCACTGTGTGTGTGTGTGTGTGTCTGTGTGTGTGTGTGTGTGTGTGTGTGTGTGTGTGTGTGTGTGTGTGTGTGTGTGTGTGTGTGTGTGTGTGTGTGTGTGTGTGTGTGTGTGTGTGTGTGTGTGTGTGTGTGTGTGTGTGTGTGTGTGTGTGTGTGTGTGTGTGTGTGTGTGTGTGTGTGTGTGTGTCGCAGGTGGGTCAGCTGTGTGGCAGTGCTCTGCATGGTGGTCTTGGTCCTGGCCTTTAACACCCTCGGACTGCTGTGTGGCGTCTGCGGCTACGACGAGCAAGTTACACCAACAACACGAGGCTGCCTCTCAAACACCGGCGGCAACCTGCTAATGGCGTATGTTTCCCAAAGTGTACAACCCTCAAACTGAGAGGAGTGACAAGAGGGCTTATTTTTGAGTTCATCAGTCTGAAGGATACACAAATATAAGAAATCAAGCAAGCATGTTCAGAATAAGATTGAGAATCAGAATTCCTTTATTTGTCCCGCAACGATCAACGATGAAATGAACATTATTACATCAGCAGAAGTATAGTGCAGATAAAGTTAGAGAATAGACTTAACATATTCAAAAATAACTAAGTAGTTCACACGTTATTAACAATAAAAAACACAATAAGTAAAAAATAAATAACAGATAAGTAGACCACAAAACTAAGTAGCAGTGTATATATATATATTATTTAAAGTGACCATATCAAATCGTAGAAGTAGCAATTGTAAAAGATGATGGATGCAGGAAACAGATAGTACAAGATAACTGATGTGTTTGTGTCTGTTGGTCTTTCAGTGGAGTTGGCTTCTCTTTTATCTCCGTCTGGGTGCTGATGGCCATTGTGTCGACCTTGTTTGTTATTGGAGGCAACGTGGAGAAGATGGTGTGTGAACCCCTCGCTAACCGACAGCTATTCAAGGTGCAGAAAACAAGCTCACTTCTTTTCCTGAATCATCTCTCCTCTGCCTCTCGGAGCGAAATCATGTTACATAACAGACAACACTGTGGCTCTGTGCTGATGAAAATGCATGTGTGTATGTGTGTGTAGATCATAGACACTCCATTCCTGGTTCATCCCGCCAAGAAGAACTTCCTTCCTGGGATGTTGTTTCAGAATCCTAACATTGAGTTGACTTTGGGAGGCATGTACAGGTAATATACCAACAACTAACACTGTTCATACTTGACATAAAGATCACTGTTTACTACCAATAGCACAAATGCTCATAAGTGTACACTTGAGGAGTTTCAGCGTGTGACTGTACTGTGTTTGTCTCGTAGGGACTGCTATGAGAACAACGGTCTGTACCATTCTCTGCAGCTGGAGACGATGTTCAACATCAACTCCTTCCTCAACAGAACTGTGGTAAGTCTCACTGCACTCTGTAGGAAATGCTGATAAAAACCTGTGTTACCGATGCATTGGGTAAGCAAGATGAAAGGTTACTTATCAGTTTAAGTGTTTTTAACAACAGTACAACAAGGATCTGGCCAAAGTGTTGGAGGGAGTGCAGGTGGACCTACAGGACGTCACGCTGCTGGAGCAGGCCGGCAGAGACAACCTCATCAACTTCGCCAACTCTGGAATCGGACATATCAACTATGAAGCCTACCTGACTGAGGTATACATTTATAGAATATGAATTTAATACAAATAATATTTCAAAAAAAGCTTCTCTCTATTCCTCTACTCATCCTATTCACTTGTAATATGCTTATTCAAAAGAGTACTCATTTGGGCTGAGAAGTCTATTTCATTGGAAAAACCCAAACTCCAATCAAGACTGAAACTATGATCCCTGCTTCATGAGTGTATGTTTTGGTTTTGTTATTCTAGTTAAACAAAGGAGTAACTATCTCGGATCTCCTGTCCTTCTCTACTGACCTGGAGGCTCAGGCAGACCAACTGGTGAGTCTCATCATTATCGTACCAACAGATTAAAGCAACAACATGAAGCTGCTCTCATCAATCAAATGCCAAAATGATAAAGAAATGTGATAACAGTTATGTTTCACACACATAGGTAATACACTTTGCTTTGAATTATTATGTAAGTTATTCTTACAGAACTGCTGTTAAACAAAAACAGGGTTAGTTATATGTAAATGGCTTTTACTTTACTCTACTTCAACTAGTGCTAGCTACTTTCTTTGTAAAAGAGTTTGCAACACTGAACTGAACACAGTGCATTTTGTTTTCCATTGCTTTGCTCTGTGAATAGAGCTTTCATTTACCCACAAGACTGAACCAGGTCGCAGACAGAATTTTAGAATGAAAGCGATCTGATAGAGGACCAAACGCTGTTGGTGTCATTAATGCACAGCCCTTGCATTGTGCAATCAACATTTACTTTATAATGATACGTTAAAACAAGTTTATATTGCCTCTTAAACATTAACATGTTGTAGACTGTAGCAATGATATAGACATTTTTTTAAACCACAAGTGCAAACATACATTTGGACAGACTGTGCAGAAAATAATTTTGTTTCATGCTCAGTTGGTTCGAACAAGGTGCCCATTCACCCTGAAAACACTCACACACACATTCATGGCACATGCAGAGCACAGAGTACAGGAACTGTGCCATTTAAAGACACATGGGACATGCCACAGAAGGATTAGTGTGTGCCTGCATTTCTGAGGCTGGAAGGAAGGAAGGAAGCAAGGAAAAATAAATCATTGAGTTTATATTAATTACCTGCAGTAATTAAAGATTGAACTGCATCAAACTTCTGTATCCTCTGCTTATTGTTTGTGTGTACAGCCCCGGGGTGCTCTGGAGAACGCACTGAAAGGACACGCCAGCAGTATCAGACAGATCCACAGGGATCAAGTGGTTCCAATGGAGCAAGCAATGGTAATCAACTCTCTCATTAAAAAAATAAACCGACACTCAATACATATGCACAACCAAATCAGAATCAGATTCAGAATACCTTTATTAGTCCCACGGAGGGGAAATTTGCGTAGTTACAGCAGGAAAAAGAGCCACAGACAGCTTAATGCTACATATGTTAAATATGTGTCTTGCATTAAAAAAAAGTACTAAGTTATGGTATAATAAAAAATAAAAAGTTACATAATTTAAAAAAAGACACATCCTGTAACAGTTCTTATGATTTAGCAGCCAGGTGTATATTACACAGTTATTAACGGCATCTATATATATTGCACATCTAGCACATATTGCACATAGGTGGTTGGTATTTAACAGCAGCAAGTTACACAATTTACAAAATACACACCTTGTAACAGTAAGGATTTAGCAGCCAGGTATATATGACACAGTTATTAACGGCAATACACACAGATTACCCCCGTTTGACCAAATAATACCTTTCTTCCGCTGACAAAATAAAATCTCCCTCAGCATGTTACCTTAAGCCTGAAGATCACAATCTTTTAGAAGTTAAGGCCCATTTCTTTGGCAACCTTCCTAAAAAAATATAAAAACTGGGCTGTTAATTGTGTTATGCCACTGTCAGCTTTAATTACACAAATAAATATTGTGCTTACCCTCAGTGAAACACGGTGGAGTTTGGTATTGACTGACTTTTAGTTGCAACTCTCGGCACAAATCCAAAAGCTCCTTCGACATCGTTAAGGGTTTATTGCTTCAAGCTAATCCATCAGCAACCATATATCTAGCTTTGAAAAGGAGATTCAGACATTTACCAACATCCTTTTTAAAAGATTTAGCCACTGCAATTTTAATATTTAATTCCTTGTTCTTATGTTGGAGTGCCTGAAATGCCTTCCTATTTAAAAATAAGTAAAATAAAAAATATACATCAATTGTGATTTATTTTCTCATGAATATTGTAATGCTTACTGTAACAGCTGATATACAACAAATAATGGATTGTATGCTACACAGAAAGAAATCTAAATATAATATCATATAACTCATTATTACAAATAAACAAACATAATGTAATTATACATTTTTAGCGATGTATTACGAAACATGTTCCTTTGTTAGCTGGTCCCCTTTAACTTTACTTATTTTCTTTCTTCTTCCTATTTGTTTGTTAAACGGTGACAGAAATATGTGAAAGCGCGGGTAAGACCTGTGTTCATAAATGTGTGCGTGTTTATCGTAGCAGTGTTGTAAATGTTGTAAATGTTGTGACAGCAGTGATGTGACGTAATGGATATTTCTGTTTGTGAAAAAAATGTGGTCATGGCATTATTGTTTGTTGGGTAACAGTTTGTGTTTGTGTCTCCTCACACAGAGTACACTGAGTCAGAGCATCAAGCAGCTGCAGAGGATGTCCAACGACCTGACGGTGAGGGAACAAACAAAACACTTTTTACTTTCGTATTGACTTGCCGTCTAATTTATCAAAATCAACATCCATTCAAACAACAAATCAACAAGACATTGAAGGATTTAAATAAAACGTGGTGCACTCGTCTTATTTGTCTTCTATATTATAAACTGAACATAAAAAGTCAACAATTTTAGATGTTTTGCTTTATTTATGTTCTATATTAACAAATTCATCTCTCTCTTTTAGGTTAAGGCCACGAATATCCTGAGTGCCATCGATGCAGCAGAATACCTCATCACTCATAACGCCTCCCATGTGGTCAAAAGGGTAAAATAAAATATGTAACAATGTTAAAGGTCCCATGTCATGGTCATTTCTACTGATCATAATTCCATTGTTGAGGTCTACTAGAATACATTTATATTGTGCAATTTTCCAAACTCACATTGGTTTCTCACAGCATCTCTGTATAGCATGTGTGTTCACTATCTGTCCTAAACGGCTTGTTGGAGCTCCTGCCCCCCCCCCTCCCTGTGAACCCAGTGGCCGTCTGCGAGACACAGCGAAACCCAGCCCAAAACACACACACACCCGCAGCCTGGCTGGGAGTTTGTGTGTGTGCCCAGGCTGAGTTCCACAGTGTCTCGCTGTCGCGCCGACCCCACACCAGTGAGCCAGCTCACACTGTCCCGCTCCTCGCAGCAGCGAGCCTCGCAACGTCCCGCCGAGTGTGTGTGTGAGAGGAAGTCCGCGGATTGGTCCAAACGTAACGGCTCCGCGGACGTTACGTCACTATACCCGAAATACATCACTCTACCCAAGAAGTAAACAATGGAAAAATAAATCTCCAACGAGGCGTTCTGGGGCAGCATAGGCAGGTCTTTTCTGTGTTAGAGTTTTACTCACTGCAGGGTGTACTTTGAGGTTTTGTGACTCTGCAGACCGTTTACATACATTACAAACTTCATAACACACAAGAAGACGGGTAATAACCGGAAAAGCATGACATGGGACCTTTAATGTAGATACACGACCTTCCTTTTTAGACACTTGTTGCTTCAGACTCGTGAATCAGATGATATAAGATGGCGTCACACGTTTTCCTTTTTTGTCTGTCTAGGAAACCAAAGGCTTCACAGAGAACTTGGTGGGATACTTCAAACAGTACACAGCATGGGTTAAACATTCGGTGAGTATACCACCAGTTTTCTCTGATGTATACATTATTAATGACCCCTTTTATCTCTCCGTGGAAACGGCAAACGTTTTTTAAACTTGGATCCTTTGGGAAAGTTGGTGTTTTGAAAAAAAATAATTACAATAAGTGCACTGGGGGAATTAATAATGAAGTACACGAAGCACTTTACTGTAGCATCCACTGAGAGGGAAAATAGCAGCATACAAAAACATGACAGCAGATGAAAACATGACATCTGTGTGGAGCAATGAGGAGATTATAACCTTCTTCAAATCAATATGTGTAACAAATAAAAAGATCATAATTACTTCATGTTTTCTAAATATAACCCGACCATTTAGGATTTAATTTGCACCTTTTAAATTTAAAAGGTCATCTCGTTGAGCCTTCTTCTTCTGCACTGGTTTAATGGCACGTAACTGGAGACTTAGCACCCCCTGCTGCTTATCTTGATGAACCAACTCCAGAAATGTGCATTACAATAATATATGGAAACGTGCAGAAATGTGCTTACACTTTGCTATGTTTGGATGGAAACCTGCCAGCAGAAGAAAAATAATATTATTATAGGATGCAAAAAAGTGAGCTGTAAAACCAGCTCTGCTCTGATCTGAGTGAACATGATGTTCAGGTTTCAGTACACAGTTCAGAAGGCCAGTTTGATTGAAATTTGGTTTGAAAGAAACTGAAATGATCTTTTTTGTCAAACCAAAAGTCTGTAATAGTCAGGTTTAGGAGACTTTCTTCTGCTAAACTATACTCATGCAGTTTACATTTGACTTCATTCATACATGCACTGTAATCTATACCTTTGTGTGTTTGTCTCCTACAGTTGAGTTCAGAGGTGGCCCAGTGTAAACCCATCAGTAACATTGTGGACAGCATGGAGATTATAGGCTGCAGCTTCATAGTGGATTCAGTGGTAAGGCACCAGAACAAACCAAATGTGCAGCTCTGCTTGTTGGCGCTTTATAGTGAGTTTCAGCTCATTGTTCAGCGGTCTCACCCTCAACGGTACCGTTTCACTCTCATCACCTTCATATCGCCATTTTCTACTATAGCAGGCAACGAAAAAGAGTTAAAAAAATCACTGTACACTACCTGCTTAGCACAAATCGTGAAAGACAGATTAAATTAGAAACAATTTAATGAACAAAGAGGAGTATTTAGCAGCTGAAGGGACAGATATTTCCCTCAAAACTAGATCAGAGCTGACAGACAGTGAATATTGGACTTAACATTCACCAGGTTCTCTGTGTTTCTGCGATTACTCAGTTGGCTGCTGAAAAGTTATTTATATCAACCTAAAAGGGGATATTATGTCAAGGTAGTGTTCACCATATATATATATATATGTGTGTGTGTGTGTGTGTGTGTGTGTGTGTGTGTGTGTGTGTGTGTGTGTGTGTGTGTGTGTGCTTGTGTGTCACACGGATTCATGCCACAGCTGTATGTACAGTACATGTTCCCCCGAATGTATTTGGATTTCAACTAGAAGTATAAACGGCTCTTTGACGGTTTGAGCGAGCACTGGGTTTTTTGGGAGTGATGAAGTCTGTGGAGTCATTCGGGGCCACACATAAGAGAACAGTATGTTCTCAAGTCTTCAACACACTCCCTCTCACACACTGAGATGAGATAGAGTCCGTAGGCCATACGGGGAGTAACATACACATACTGTAGATTCTTCACTGTTTTCACTCTGTCCCTGAGGAGAGGCAAAGTATTTGCATATTAGCTATATATTTTGTGTGTGTGTGTTTGTGTGTGTGTGTGTGTGTGTGTGTGTGTGTGTGTGTGTGTGTGTGTGTGTGTGTGTGTGTGTGTGTGTGTATGTGTGTGTGTGTGTGTGTGTGTGTTTAATGAGAGCTCCAACAATCCACAGACTGGTCAATCCAAACAGAGATTTATAAAGCAGTGCCTGCAGCCCTGGTACTGTATGTACTGTATGTGCTGCATGCAAACGAGTTTTTATTCATATGTTCTGTACTATTTGTGCCTTCTAATGGGCACATCTTGGCCATCAATGTGTATGTGCTGCATGTTGAATCTCTTGGGTTGCAACCAACTCTTCTTTCATTATCAATCTCCACATTTCAAATGTGAAAATGCCAAATAAGTCCAAGGAGACTTCATGTCACTTATTTTTCTGATCAGAGGTTAACTGGTGATAATCATTTTTTTATTGTTTTTGTGGTTTTTCAGAACACATTCTGGTTTGGTCTGGGAGGTTGCTGTGTCCTCCTGATCCCCAGCATCATCGTTTCTGTCAAACTGGCAAAGTATTACAGAAGGATGGACACAGAAGATGTCTTTGAAGAGTGAGTAAACACACACACACACACACACACACACACACACGGTTTACATACTGTATATCCACTGACAGAAGTTTCTTTTGTTTTTATTGGTAGTTTTTCTGAATCTTTTTCTGTAGATCAAAACTAAATTAATGAATCCTCTTGTTTCCTTCTCTCTGTCATTATTCCTTCTCATGGTCTTTGATTATCCTCGTATTTTTCCTGGTATTTGTTCCACTCTCTCCAGAACCACTTACCCGTGGCTTGTTGCACTTTAATGTTTGTCTGCCATCCGTGCATCCTCTCCTCCTCTTCCACGTGTTTACATACCATGTTTGGAATTGGACACTTGACTGTGGATTTCCTGAGATCATTCTTAAACGTTTTCTTATGGGAAATCACGCATGAACTTTGTCTCTGCGTGGATCTTCATTTCATCATCTCCTCCTGCATCTGCCTCCTCTTTTCCACTTTATTTCCGGGGATCACTCCATCCTTGTTGCTTTGAGTGGAGTCTTCCCATTTTCTTTCTCACCTGTCCACCCCCGCTCTTGTGTTGCAGTATGGGTAATACAGGTAATCATGGGGAACAACTGTGTGGTATCCATGGAGACCTTGCTGTGGTCAGGTACGAGCAGCGTCTCTGCTTGTTCGCATGCCGTGGGGTTAATTGGTGGAGGAATACTTTGACAGTCTGCAGACATTTGCTACAGATTTTAAGTTAAAAACCATTCCCCATAAGTATGTATTTTATGTGTGTGTGTGTGTGTGTGTGTGTGTGTGTGTGTGTGTGTGTGTGTGTGTGTGTGTGTGTGGTGTGTGTGTGTGTGTGTGTGTGTGTGTGTGTGTGTGTGTGTGTGTGTGTGTGTGTGTGTGTGTGTGTGTGTGTGTGTGTGTGTGTGTGTGTACAGTATCTCTCCCTATCCCAACACTCTGACCCGGTTCCCTCGGGCCTCGGCTCCTCCGAGCTACGCCGACTGGGAAGGATCGCCTTGATGAGGTACTGACTGTCCGTCGTCACTTTGCACTAACCTCCATCTAACAACTTCAAAACAACATTATGCAAAAACTGGCACTTCTGGGATTCATAAATACAGATTTCGCCCTAATACAATGCTTTGTATTTTTAGCATTGCTTCTCTTTCTCTTCTTTGCTTCAAATGTCAACATCTTCTTCATTCTTTTCGCCTCTGCTATGATGTCCGTACTGAGGATACCGAGCTAGCTTTGTCTTATAGCTTCTCAAAGGCACATAGTGTAAGAACAGAAGTTCAGGGAGTGAGGTCGGACACGAAGAGGATGCATTCTTCCTATAACATGATAAGCTGTTCTTTTTGAGTAAAGAAATTGCATAATGTTGTTAAAGTAAACTAAAACCACCTAAGAACCACCCGCCATTTAATCATCATCAGTCTGACTTCACCCAGGAGATTCTTCTTCCTCTTCTTCTGGTCTCATTCATCCTTCCATCCATCACTGTTGTCTACCAACGATTTTCCACAACTCTCAACAAGGAATAGCACATATCTTTCATCATTCCCACTTGATGCAATATCCAACTATCTTCATATTTTGTAAGATTCTGGTAAATGTTTCGCTAAATAGAACTAAAAGGAAGCTTTTGTTGATGATAGCATCTTGTGCCTTTGGTGTAGAACACTTAAATACAACTTTGGGAACTTGAATGGTTTGTTTTGGAGGGGAATTACACATTTTCATCATTGCATGATATGGAGTTATCTATGTAACCAAAACATACTTAATTCATCCAACATTAAACAGAAATGTGACATATATTTGTTGACATCTGGAATTAGTGTTTGTTTCCCCTACCCTTCAACAATGTATTGATGAAGAAAGGCAGTAACTGTTTTTAAATCAGTATTAAAAAAACCTAACTACTCTATTCTTTTGTTTTTCATTTATTCATACTTTTACTTATAAAAGCAATAGAGCATCGACAAAAGTAAAGCAGCTGATTAAAACATATTTTTTTTCACAGCGGACAAGAGGGCTGGAACTGAAATTCCCCTCGAGGTAAGTCATCTCATCCGTCTACACCTCTCTTTAGGGATAATAAACAGAAAACACTGTGAAAACTCTGTTATTTCTGACATGTCCTCTCTCTTTTCAAGGATTTCTGGACATTCCAGTTCTCTCCATTCAGATCTTATAACACGTTGAAAGATCAAAAGGAAGAACAACAATTTGGAACTGTGTGGTGAGGCGTCCCACCCCCCAGTGCCCCTTCAAGCCACTGGACAAGGACCTCAGATGCCAACCAACTGTAATTTATAAAGTGTTATTTCATTCACATCAGCACCGCAGCCGTCCTTCTAGTGTTTCATACTATAGATCATCAACTATCACAGAAATGTTCCTGCATAGCTAGTTTTTCCTGTAGATAATTCATTTGTTTGTACCTACATTATCACCTTTACCATGGTGACACAAGTGTACATTTTTTTACACTTTCAAAACCTTTGAAAGTTTTATATACTTTTGTTAATGTTTGTTTTATAACACATAAGTAGCTTTTTGTAGGGGTAGCTTTTTCTTTTCTTGGTCAATATTTGTAATGTAGCTTACAGTTTTGACTCGACAAGTTGAAACGACCAAAGAATCATTGATTCGCTTTCTTGTTGAGAGTTAGATAAAAAGATGGCACTCTCGTGTCTTTTAGTTAAATACCAGGATCCAGTAGGAATAGCAATCAATATCACCATCAATGAAACCACTAGCATGATGGAAGAACACATTCATTTTCATGGTGGCTATGTTCTGGACTCGGGGTTGGACTGATCCATTGCCCTGGCAGAGAACGCTGAGGTAGACGAATATGAGATATGAAGGGGGTCATTGGAGTTTGCCCATCCGGTCTACATTGGTTTTACAGACTTTTCTGGTGAAGGCTCGCGAACGTGTCCCTCAACTTGTGTGTTCAGCTGGAATAGAAAGCTGTGTCCATATGTTTGACACAAAGTCAAACCCGTTTCCAGTCCAGCCCTGCGATTTAGATCCTCCCCAAACTTGCTGTAATGAGTGAGTTTCAGAGGATGTGGTGTGTGGAGTTTGCTCCACTGGTCAGAGCAAGGCTAACAGTCATTTAGCTAAGCTAACGTTGTCAATGGTGTAGCTTCAGGGCTAGTATACAGACAGGATACTGATATTGATCTTCTCAACTAACCTTCAGCAAGAAAGCGAAAAAAACGTTTTTGAAGGTGGAAACTGGAAGTTCTTGTTAATTATTTAAAACCTTGAGACATCAGTCCAGAATTAATCATGGTCCATCAGGATGTAAAGAGTTTCTAGCTTTTCAACAGACACGAGTTACAAACCCAGCAAGGTTTCAAGACAGCTAACAAACAAAAATATTGTGTCTCCATTTTTTACCAGACCATTAGAGACCACTAGTTGCTTGTGTTTTTTTTTTTCTTCACCATTCTGGGGTTGGGATAATACAAATCCCAGAAGCCTCTTTGGTGAAAGAGGCCTGTTTGAGGAACAAAGCGTACACACAAATATTATATTACAGCTGGAGTCTGTGGTGAAGGCGCGAAACTGTGAATAAAGACTTCAGTCTTACAACTGTGTGCTGTGTTTTTCTTGCTGCATATACTAATGAAACGTATGTATTATCCACTGTTATATCAACCACTGAGGAAACTTTGATGGTTTTTGTTCTTTCAAAGGTCATTAATCACCCAAACTATCTTTTAAGTGTGCTTTCATGCTATACATAAACTCTGAGCAACAGCTAGGAATGAAAAAGAACACTTGACGATGTGCACACAGCAAATATGCAGATGTGTTAAACCTCGACGCCCCCACAAAAAATCCAACTTAGCGCGTCTGCCAAAACATACAGAACACCAGGGAACGCAGAGAACATTCATGTAACATATGCAGAGCTGAATACGAGCACACAGCAGCTGACAGGCTTCAGGTTGGCAGGGAGCAGTGGGGGGGGTTTGGTGGAGGTGGTGTGACGCTGTTGCATCCTATCAGAAGAGGACTAGACTAATTTAATTTAGGGAAACATCTGGTTTAGACAACATACCGACAAACACGCACTTCATATGTTTACTTTGCTTTCCGGGTGTCTCTTACAGGGGAACTTGTTCTCTTCCCCAACAGATTGATGGTTATAAAAACAAAACATCCTGAATGTACTGAGGGCATGTGTGCATTTGTTAACACATGTGACTTTGTACACAGCATCAGGGCAATACTGTAAACACTTCTTCCGCCCTGTGTCCAAACCAGCCGCTACATGAAGAACAAGTCTCCTTAAAGAAGAAGAAGATGAACCTTTATTAATCCCCCTAGGGGGAAATTCAGTTTTTCACTCTGGCTTGTATTTAGTTTTTTTAATACACACACACAGTATACAAGTAGGTGCACACATGCACATGCAATACACACACAGTTATACACACTATACAGAATACACATGCACCTGGAGAGGGCCCGAGCGAAGAGGCTGCCAGTTTAGCCGGCGCCGGGGAGCAGTTGGGGGTTCGGTGCCTTGCTCAAGAGCACCTCAGCAGGGCCCAGGAGGTGAACTGGCACCTCTCTAGCTACCAGTCCACTCCGTGTTTTTTTGGTCGATCGGGACTAACTGGTGACCCTTCGGTCAAGTCCCTACAGACTGAGCCACTGCCGCCGTTCTTCTGTAGTTTCATATGTCAAAACTCACTGTAGGTTGCAAGTTTGAACTCAAAACCAGTTTGGTCAACAAAGGGATTCCTGGGCCCTGCCATTGTAGCCGTCTTTAACTTATAGTAGACCTTCTTAGGGGTATGGCGGTCCAGGCTCAAGGGCGTATGTCACTCTCAACTCTTTCCAAGACAAGCCGGGGCCCTGCCTGCCAGTAGCTTTGCCGATATCTGTGTTGATAGGTAATAGATTAAGAGCGGTGAATCAGTTTAGAAACAGGAAGTGCTCAAACGTTTGTGTGAGTTTATCAAATTTAGCAGTGATTCCATATCAGCCACAGCTTGTCACAACAAATCTGACTGATAGTGTATTTAACAATATATAATAATTGTCTATAGTGTGTATTGACTTTGACCGTCTAGTCATTGTTGGTGATTTTAACATCCATGTTGACAACCAGACAGAGGGGCTAAAGAACTGTTTTGTGTTCTTGATAACTATGGACTGACTCAGCATGTGACGGAGCCCACGCACAATAAGGGGCACACTCTGGACTTAATTATCTCAAAGGGTCTGAATATCTCTGAGGTTGTGGTGACTGATGTTGCACTCTCTGATCATTCCTGTGTTTTCTTTGAGAGCTCTATTTCTATTCACACATTTTTTCAAAAAGAGGTAACCACAAAGCGATATTTAACTCAAAACACTAGGGAAATGTTTACTCAGAATTTTTCTTCCACACTTGCCCCTGCTAACATCTCAGTAAATGAGCTAGTAGATCATTTTAATTCAAAAATTTAAAATGTTATAGATGCCAACCAGTGTTGGGGAAGTTACTTTTAAAAAGTAGTGTTTGCTCTTTACTTCTTTAAAAAAGTAATCCCTTACTTTACTTACTTTACTTTTTACGTGACTCGTTACTTTTACGTTACTTGTATGTTGCTCGACTTTGGGCAGAACACCATCTCTGTTCCTAAATGTGTAGGCTTACATAAAGTTCTACTATGAAGGACATAACAGATATTTCTTTTGTGCTCTTTATTATAAAAAAAATGCCACAGAGCACTTAACAAAACATTGGGCTATAGGCGTCAACACCACCACTAAACAATAATATCAAACAATATCAATATAAAATCATAATCATTAAGGGTTACAGGCTAGTCCCAAAATAGGTGCAAAGCTAGTGCAAATCATATCAATAGGCTACTAAATAGGCTTGGACTCGAAATATCATCATTTCCCCGGGGATCTTGAGCTAGCATGTTTTCCTTTCAAATGCTTGGTGAGGTTGGCAGTTGAGTTAACGGCAGTGGACACAAGTTTCTGGCCAGGGCACAACGTACACCTTACACTCACATTTCCCCCCTAAGTTTCAACAAGTTCGAAGTAATGGGAATACCTCCATCCCTCGAATGTTAGCGTTGGCTGCGCCTGCTTCTCGCTTGCCATCACTGCTCTTCAGTCTTCATGCCACCACCAGCGGCCAGCCTCTATAGCATTCACACTGCAGGACTTTCCCTGGTACTTTGGTTCTTTAGTTCCGTTAGTACCAATAATGTCGAGTTCACACCGCCGGGATTACTCAGTGCCGGTGTTGTGTCACATTATGCCTCCCCGTCATGAAATGCCCCCCTTGTCACGGGAACGCGCATTTCTAAATGACACGTTTACACCTCTAAATGACATGTTTACACCATAGGTTTACACCTTAAAACGATGTTTAAAACGAAAAGTAAACGTTCAGGGTTTTTATTAATGGTAATTTTCAGACTGTGAGTTGTTTAGTGGTAGCTCATAGTCTTGATTCTTCTGGTTTAACTTTTCGCTCCGTATTTGAGGTGTCGAAATTCGTTCGTCACTTCCTTTTCAGTTTGTTTTTTTAAATGTTTTTTTTATCATTATTGTTACGTCCTGTCTGTATAAACGTGCTTTAAAATGTATTGTTTAATTTTACATAGTTGTCATCTAATAATCTAAATATGTTTACAAATGTTACATAGTCTTTGTCAGCATATATGCTATGCGTACAAAATAAAAGTGTGACATTCATGAAACTTGCTCCATTTATTGGTACCAGTCCTAGAACCATACCCTGAAAAATGCTTGAGGGTGGGATTCATAGAAACCTCTTTTGGTGGGGGGGCGGCATTTTATGACAGGCCTGGCCATCACAATATGCCCCCCCTTGCTATCTTACAAAAATAAAAGTGTCACATTCATGAAACTTGCTCCATTTATTGGTACCAGTCCTAGAACCATACCCTGAAAAATTCTTGAGGGTGGGATTCATAGAAACCTCTTTTTTGGGGGGGGGGGGGGGGGGGGGGGGGGGGGGGGGGGGGCATTTTATGACAGGCCTAGCCATCACAATATGCCCCCCCCTTGCTATCTTACAAAATAAAAGTGTCACATTCATGAAACTTACTCCATTTATTGGTACCAGTCCTAGAACCATACCCTGAAAAATTCTTGAGGGTGGGATTCATAGAAACCTCTTTTGGTGGGTGGGGGGCATTATATGACAGGCCTGGCCATCACAATATGCCCCCCCTTGCTATCTTGCAAAATAAAAGTGTCACATTCATGAAACTTGCTCCATTTATTGGTACCAGTCCTAGAACCATACCCTGAAAAATGCTTGAGGGTGGGATTCATAGAAACCTCTTTTGGTGGGGGGGGGTCATTTTATGACAGGCCTGGCCATCACAATATGCCCCCCCTTGCTATCTTACAAAAATAAAAGTGTGACATTCATGAAACTTGCTCCATTTATTGGTACCAGTCCTAGAACCATACCCAGAAAAATTAACCAGCGCAATGACGGTCAAGCAGCTGTTATTGACAGCTACGCTATGACCGCCATCTGGAAACACAAATTTGGAAGAATCCGGGTATGTACATGATTGGAATGACTTTGCTTTTGTAAATGTTGCAAATGTGCATTTTTCAACAGGAATGTAATACTTTTGCAACTACTCTCAGGTTGATCCAATGGCACACACAGTCATCGTGGGAATTGTGAACGAGAACCATCACTGGATGTTGGTGGTGAGAATAGGAGCATATTTTAAGCTCCAATCTGTATCTATAGTGCTGTATACACCATATATAATTAGTGATTTGCAAGATAACCGGGCCACACATACATGCTGTCACTTATTATTGATCAAATCTAAACAATACCCTACATCGTACCTGCGTAATGTATGGTTCCTGCCTAATGCATGTTGTGTTTCCATGTGAATAATAAAAGGTAATGTACCCCCATGAGAAGAAAACCCTCTTCTTGGATCCACTTGGAGAAGGGAAAGGCAAAACGAAGGTGTGCCTGCAGTCTACAAGGTACATTTGATACAGTGTACTAGTTCCGGTGTTTTATGAGTATTTTGACAATGATGTGCTGCATCTTGACACATGTACTATCTACATACTGTAGAGCCTTTATGAGGATGAAAGGCTGCAAGGTGTCAAGATGGACATGCAGCACCCTCCCCCATAATCGCCAACAAGACAGCACATCCTGTGGTGTCCTGGCCTTAAAAGTGAGTGTGAAATGCATTTAGCCAAACATTACTCTCAAACTCAAATTCAGTAGCAATTAGACTGAATATCTTGACTTGCTTTTATACATCTTGATCAAAGATGTATTGAATTGTGTCAAACTACACATATACAACATGTCATTCTTTAAATCTGTTGGGTCATTTGTCTGTATTCCATTTGAGGGTAAAATCATAGACCATGCAGTCCATATACTAATCAAGGTTCTCTTCAGTTTGCAGAGAACATTTTACTGGGGGAGGTAATTGAGTTTGAAACCTCACAGAAGGCAGTGCACGAGCTGAGGCTGGACATTGCTACTTCTCTCCTCAGAGAATCTGGTTTGTTACCTTTTCTCAACATTGTCAATGACTTCATGTAGT